TTGCCTTTACTAGGAGCATCAGTGGTTCAAATTTCAAAGAAATATCTCAATAAATAAGAAAGTTGGCATTGCGCAGTTACTGCGCATGTCTACACATAATTTTTACTATTTGCGAAATGTTTGCCTTTACTAGAAGCATCTGTGGTTCCAATTTCAAAGAAATATCTCCATAAATAGGAAAGTTGGCATTGCGCAGTCCCATTCCGCAGGGACTGGGCATGCGCACACAATTTTTAGTATGTGCGCAATGTTTGCCTTTACTAGAAGCATCTGTGGTTAAAATTTCAAAGAAATATCTCTGTGGTTAAAATTTCAAAGAAATATCTCCATAAATAAGAAAGTTGACATTGCGCAGTCACTACGCATGCCTACACATAATTTTTACTATTTCCGAAATGTTTGCCTTTACTAGAAGCATCTGTGGTTAAAATTTCAAAGAAAAATCTCAGTAAATAGGAAAGTTCGCATTGCGCAGTCACTGCGCATGTCTACATAATTTTTACTATGTGTGAAATGTTTGCCTTTACTAGAAGCATATGTGGTTAAAATTTCAAAGAAATATCTCCATAAATAAGAAAGTTGGCAATGCGCAGTCTGCGCAAAATAGAGAGTGCAATAAAACTGTCTGAAATGGGCAAATATAGACCATAGCAGCTATCAATTAGCGAAAACCCGAAGTCTCTAGGTGTCCCAGGGGCCGAGATCTCGATGGAACGGACGGACGGACGGGCGGGCGGGCGGACGGACAGACGGAAACACGAGCACATAAGCGTTACCTCAACTTCGTTGTGTTACGCTAAAAACCGCTCAGACCTGGATACGATATTTTTAACCAAAATTATACCACAAACTGTAAAACTCATCACCGTGTTATGATTTTGATTAGTTTTCACCTTGAAGTAGTTATCCTAGATAAGTCATATTAGTGACCGTAGTTAGGCAATGCCAAAAGTATATTTTATAAAAAAGCCATTCCTCTACGTCAATCGGATCGGCTTAAAATCGATATACGCACGGACAAGTTTTCAAGCGGCGTTAGTTATTTCGCAAATTCTAATTAAACGCAACCACTACGGGCTTAATGATGTCCATTGCGCCAATAACTCGACAAGACGGAGATAATGCAAAAAACCGGACCTCTCTACGATGTCTAGATCAAAAGTTTTTCAATCCGCCCAGCCAGCCAGCCAGCCAGCCAGCCAGCCAGCCGGACAAAGTGAAATGATAAGCTCCTTTTTGTTACCAAAAATGCGCTAAAAAAACCTTACCTTTATGAACGAGGAATTTAATTTCGGCGTGTTCGGGGTAGGTTGAAATTTTGCCATCCCCCTCAGTATCTCCTTTATGTGCAGATCTTCGGTGTCGACGACTCGAAACGACGTCATGTTGACGAAGTTGTACTGAAAGTCTTCGAGATCGAAAGTTTCCAGATCGAACGTCGTGAAAATATAATGGTATTTGTAGTCGTTCATCTGAAGTTGCAAAATCTGCAACAAGAGGGACAAAGTTAGGGCATCAATTTCGAGCACGTTTCGTATTAGGTAAAGGTTCCGGTTAGCGCTGAAAGCCTTGTTTTCGATTTTTCCGGTAGTCCATCGTTCGTTCTCGCATCCGGCGGGCAGTACGAGATGGAAATAATAAAACTTACCCCCTTGAGAAAGTGTTGCATGTTCGACGGTTTCGTGTCGATGACTAAATTATGTATGTCCTTGTTCTTGATCTCCTTTAGAACCGCACGGTAGGATTCGGGATCGGCCTGACGGAGATGTATCTCCAAGTCCGTGTTGTGGGGGGATCTAACGAGCTCTCGGAGTTTTATAAGCCCTGAAACAAGTAAAAGCTAATAGATTGCGTCGTAAGGAAACTTCAAGTGAAAGGAAACTGTTTGAAGGCACGTTCCGCCTCGCATTTGGCCATATTTAGCTGGATCGAAAAGATACAGCTTAAATGAAAAAAGTAAAATAAACATTTTGCATGGAGCTATAAGACAGACTCATTGCAAAGAATTTTTTACGCAATTTCGCATCAAAAGCTCAATGTCAGCAGTAAATTCGCGTCAAAGTACATTGTAAAAATAACTCCCTACCAAAAACTGTTGGTATGGTGGAGGAACCTCCACCAAATTTTCCAACAAATCCATTTAGACGAAATGTTGACTCAAACTCAATCGAAAACATTACGTATAGTAGGCCACACAAAATACCTCACAACCATATACCTACCCCTTACGAAACCCGGGTCTTTGAGACCTTCGAGACCTTCGAGATCTTCGGGACCTTCGAGACCTTGGAAACCTTTGAGACATTGGAGACCTTTGAGGACTTTGAGAGCATTGAGATTTTTCTTTGAGATTTTTCTTTGATTCTTTGAGATCGCGATATTTGAGATCGAGATCTTTGAGATCTTGAGATCTTTAAAACCTTTGAGAACTTTGAGATCTTTGAGACATTGGAGACCTTTGAGAACTTTGATATCATTGAGACTTTTCTTCGAGATTTTTCTTCGAAACCATTATTTGATTCTTTGAGATCGAGATCTTTGATATCTTGAGATCTTGAGATCTTTGGGATCTTTGAGATCTTTGTAATCTTTGAGAACTTTGAGAACTTTGACAACTTTGAGATCTTTGAAATCTTTGAGATCTTTGAGATCTTTGAGATCTTTGAGATCCTTGAGATATTTTGAGATCTTTGAGATCTTGAGATCTTTGAGATCTTTTAGATCTTTGAGACCTTTTAGATCTTTGAAATCTTTGAGATCTGTGATATCTTTGAGATCTTTGAGATCTTGGAGGCCATTGAGATCTTGGAGACCATTGAGACCGTTGAGATCTTTCTTTGAGATCTTTGTTTGAAATCTTTCTTTGAGATCACTTACACATCTTCCAACCGTTTGAACGTTTAGTTTTAAAAAATGTAGAAAATTTTCCTCTTTGTATTTCTTGTATTCCTAGGATTCCTTATATTCCATGGTTTCCTTGGACGGATTCCTTGTATTTTGTTGGATTCCTTAGATTCCTTGGATTCCTTAGATTCCTTAGATTGGTTGGATTCTTTGGATTTTTTGGATGCTTTGGGTCCTTTTGATGCTGTGGATTCTTTGGATTCCTTACATTCCTTGGATTCCTTGGATTCCTTGGATTCCTTGGATTCCTTGGATTCTTTGGATTCTTTGGATTCGTTGGATTCCTTTGACTCCTTGGACTCTTTGGATTCTTTGGATTCTTTGGATTCTTTGGATTCTTTGGGTTCTTTGGATTCTTTGGATTCTTTGGATTCTTTGGATTCTTTGGATTCTTTGGATTCTTTGGATTCTTTGGATTCTTTGGATTCTTTGGATTCTTTGGATTCTTTGAATGCTTTGTATTCTTTGGATTCTTTTTATTCGTTGGATGTTTTAGATTTTTTGGATTTTTGAATCCTTTGGATTCTTTGGATTTTTTGAATTCTTTGGACTCTTGGAACTTTTTGGACTCTTTAGAATCTTTGAACTCTTTGAATTCCTTGTATTCTTTGGATTCTTTGGATGTTTTGGATTTTTGGGATTCGTTGAGTCCTTTGGATTCTTTCGACTCTTTGGATTCTTTGGATGTTTTTAATTTTTTTTAATTTTTTGAATCCTTTGGATTCTTT